GCGCGGGGATCATATGACGGGTGCTGTCTAGACTGCCGGCCCTGTATCCACCATCTCAACTCTCTCCTCAACTCCCTTCACTTCTCTCACCTATTCTCCTATTCCCCCCTCTCCTCTTCTCCTTTTAGAAACTGTGGACGTGACGAACTGACAAACAAATGACACATACCCACAAATACACCGCTACTTGCTTGAAGCATGAACTCTTGAACCATGTATCCCATTCAACCTTACATGATGTATGTCCATGACAAACACACACACACACACAACATTTTTGCATCGGCAAGGCGTATTCATTCATTGGCCTTTATTTTCTTCTTCTTCATCTTCTTCATCTTCCATTTTCTTTCTTCTTCATCTCATTTGTCATATTCCTTTCTGTCAGATATACATACATCCATAGCTTCTATATTTTCTTTATTTTTTTCCATGTCCTTTTTCTTTTCCTTTTTACTTCATCTTCTGTTTTGCATATTCTAGGTTATCTTACCCATCTAGCTGACTGTAAGTATCTTCTTGTGTCATGTCACTCATCTCCGTTGGTCACTGGTTACGTATGTTTCATTGCTCGATGGCATGGAAGAATTTAAGATGGGGATGAATATAACAAGTAAAGTTAGCACGATGCTTTGCCATGATAAATTACGTTACCTGCAATTTGTAGCAAGAGAAATGGTCAATGGTAAAGACTGTTATCTCTGTTTGGAGTAGAGTCATGTCTATGGTTGACTGCTGTTACCGAATGGATTACAGCTTACACTCTCGGAATGAAACAAAGGAACTATGCCTGTCAAATGTTCTGCTTCGTTTTTGTCGCTGGACAGTGAAATAGTATGGGATGAATGATCGTAGAAACACTGCCTATCCGTGGAATAGTCAACAGATAAACATAGAGCAAACGCAGGTCACACAGATACAATTGAGAAGCATAAACACCGCACCGAATCATGCAGGTAGGAAAAGAGGAAATCCCATCACACCATACGAGAGACGTAGAGAATAGCGCCGGGTGGCAAATAAGAAGACAACAAATGTAGACGGCCAGAACCCACACATCCGACATCAAACTGGATGGACCCTTCTACTCATGCCCGTTCATCATTCCCCCTGTAACCCGGAATCCGACGACGCCAACGAAAAGAAAATAATGTAAGGACCAAAAGCACGCACACACTGAGCAGTCCGTCAAACAGGAACAGACATGCCTGGTTCCCAGCACAGGACACTCATGGCGAGACTGAGGAGAGAAAAGAAGATGAGAGAGGGATCGCCCTACTTCATCGCAAGCTCCGATCCACCCACTGGACTGGGGCCCGGAGGAGCAGGGGCAATATTTGGACGCGGCGCCAACTCGACCATGGGGTGCTTGCCTCCTCGAGTGCTGGTCGAACCGCCACGACCGGTAGCACCTCCGCCGCGTCCGTGGGGAGTCCCCGAGGCGGCATTGGCTCTTTCCTGCTCTGCCTGCTGACGAGCAGCTTTGCTGATGCGCGGGCGACGAGTGGTACTGCCGCCTCGTGAGCCTGGGCCCCGAAGGGGAAGACCGGTTTCCTGGGAGATCGGGACCGCAGCGGCCAAAGGCACCTGGTGGGATGTTACAGGCCCCCGGCCCCGACCACCACGTCCACGGCCGCGACCACGCTTGATCGTACCGTCGGCCCTATTCGTAAGCCATTAGCATCTCAGCCAGCACTAAAACAAGGGATTCAACTTCCGAAAGGGTATGGCGCTTACCGTTCTACTTGGACCTTTTCGCCCTCCGGCACCAGCGGCCCACTGTAAACAAAGAACCCATCCTTACTGGCGGCCGCCTGTTCCTGCCAGGCCAACTCACTATCATCCACGAATGGGTCGTCTCGATCATACTCCTCCATCTTCTTCTTACGGCGCTTCTTCTTCCCATCTGCCGGTTCGGCCCCATTCGAGCGAGCGGGCGCGGATGTTGCACCTTCCCCATCCATCTCGCTGTCCCGGTCGACCTCCATGCTCAGATCCTCATCCGCACTCTCTCCTGCGGACAAACCACGTCCACTCGCCTTGTCGTTGCGCTCCAAGGCCGCTCCGGCCGCAGCTACCCGTGCCAGTCGTTCCTTGTGCGCAGCGAGGCGAGGATGTAGGGCCGCGAACCCATATTGCTCCTCCGCTAAACGTGCAAAGTTGATGATTTGATTCCCATGACCTTGGATAGGAACGTGCAGGATGATACTCGGTACCTGGCGGTTACTCGAGTCGCCTGTGGACGAGCCACCATCCACTCCGAAAAGGGCATTGGAGATCAGTCCCGAGCCTTGAGGTAGCGTAGGTGTTTCCTTGGCTGCCTTGGCCGGTTTGGGTGAGGGCGCCTTCGAAGCAGGTACTGTTGAGGGGGTTTTGGCTTCCTTCTTGGTCACCTTAGAGGCTGTCGACGAAGCAGGTGCCTCGGGCTCCACATCCATAGGCGTGGGACCTGGCGAGGGCGGTCGGTTATTAGACGGTGCTGGGGTATGAGGTTCCGAGGCCGATGGGGGAGGGACAGACGGGGGCTTTGGTTCTGGTGCCGACATCCGTGATTCCTGGGGTGGCGGCGGTGCTTGCACGGGTGTGGCATAGGGAGATCGATGGGCATACGGTGAGACTGGTCGTGGAGGTTGAGATTGAGGCTGCGGGTGCGGTTGAGGTTGTGGCGGAGTGGGTGCGATAGATGCGCCCGCGGGCGATGGAGAGTAGCTCGACGCACCGTGAATTGGAGAGCCATAGGGTCGAGGGGCATAGACGGGCGGCGACGAGGCAGCAGGCGGATCAATGATACTAGCAATGGCCGGAGAGGCACTGGCGCGATATGTCGGACGAGGTGAGATAGGGCGGGCCGGGGGACTAAAGGAGGGGCGCCCCGGAGGCGGCGCCGCAGCAGCCAACGCCGGAGTCGGTGCTGGAGCCGGGGCCGGAGACGATGTATCAAAGGCCGACCGTATGGGATCGAAATTTTGACCGCTTGTTCTTTGCGGCGGAGGAGCGGGCGGCTGGGAGTGTGGCCGCGGAGGAGGAGCGGAGGGCATCAGGCCCGGATAAGGTGAGACGAGGGTTGTAGGGGCCACGGATGGCGGTGTTGGATGGGCCGACGGTGGCAAAGACGGGGGGTTCAGGAGACGCGATGTCCCATGAGACATCGCTTCAGAATCTAGTGTTTGTTTCCGCGGGCTCGTTATGGGAGTGCTGGGAGCAGGCGTCGAGGCTGGGGCTAGAGCTGGAGCTGGAGCTGGAGCCGGGGCTGGGGCCGGAGCTGCAGATGCAGCTGAGACTGCAGTGGTAGGAGGACTGGTCGCAGGCCCTTCTGGAACGGCAGCAGGCGCGGGATTCGGTGAATGAGCAGGAGGCGCCGCAACACTGGGGCTTTGGTCGGGGGTGGCAGCCTCCAACTTGGGCCTCTTGCGAGAGTGAGACGCGGCCGAATTGGGCGGGTTAGTAGATGTCGACGACGACTTCTCTCGTTGGCGACGGCTGCCCCGTTTGGGCTCCAGCTTCTCCTCCTTCTCCTTCTCTTTTTCCTTTTCCTTTAATTCTTTCTCCTTGTCCTTTTCTTTTTCTCTAGTTTTGGGGGTTCGGACGGGTTGGTTTCGTTCGAGGTCGGGATCGTCTTCCTTCCTGCGACGCGACCGTCGGGTACGAGTTTCGCGGGCGGGATATTCAATGGAGCGCGACTCGTGTTCACCTGCAGCCGACAAAACAGATGGCTCTGTGGACATGGTGAAGAAGAGAAGGAAAGGGAGGGGAGGGAGCGAAAGGACGAATCAAAGCTGGTGGTCAAGCATCGAGTGAGAGGGCGAGGTTGGTTAGAGGGAGGAGTGGACTGATGGACTGACGTCCTTTGGGTGGTGAGGGTGGTGGTTGTTGGCGGTTGGAGGTGAGGGAGATCTAACCCTTGTACTCAGAACAATAAAACTAGATAACAAGGGAATAGAAAGCCGAATGAATGGAGATGAAGAAGGGTTGAAAGAAGGTGGTGGAGATGGAGAGTGGATGGTGGAGGAGTGGAAAAGTGGATGGCGATGAATGGATTGGGGGAAGAGGAAAGGGAAGAAGGAAGAAAGAGGGAAGGGAGAGAGAAAAGCGAGAGAGTGAGAGAGCGAGAGGAACAGAGAGAGAAGGGGAAGGCCGAGAGGGAGGCAGACCAGATGGGAAACACCGGATCAGCAACTGCAACAAAAGAACAAAAGAACAAAATTGCAAACTAAATGGATGGGGGAAAGGGGGCGCTGTTGTGAGAGACAGAAGCAAGTATACCTTGCTAGATATACATACATACATACAGAAGAGTGCTTTCGATGATGAAGAAAGATGGCAATCCGAAGTGGGCGAAAGCAGCAACCGGGGAAAGCGTGTTTGTATGGCCGGGGTTCCATTCCGGCGGGTGCGCTTCTCGTTCCTTTCTTGGGCCGTTTCGATGGTTCGTTATCGCCTTTAGTTCCCTTCAAGTTGCCTGCTTGCTTGGCCCCTCAATGCACCCCCACCACCATGTGAACGGGGGTCCAAGCAATTGCTCATTGTCGGTAAAATGACCCGGAATCAATTATGTCCCAGAATAATTGACGGACAAGGTTTCGTGCCCGCAAGACTGGGGACAAAACAATCAAGGCAGTGTAAAGTCCCAGTTTCGATATCAGATCGGGTCACCTGATTCAACGTGCTTTACCCAATCGGGGTGGTCAATCAGGTGAACCCACTAATCCTATCTGGTGCTAGTGTACCCCATTTTAGCTTTTGAGCCGCAGCTGAGTCATCCTGCAGTGTCCCTGTGCGGGCTGACTCAATGCTGACTCAGCCGAGCTTCCCGGGGATGGCTTCATTTCCGACGCTTTCGGCAGCTTTTCTTCCCCGCCAAACCCCTCACCAACTCTTCGACGCCATGGCCTTTCGCGGTGAACGTTTCGTCCTCGATCTGGGCTCTGACGATGAGTCCTCGCCAGCGGACACCTACGATGACGCTCAGGGTGCCGCGACCCTCAACATCCCCGGGATGATCGGCGAAATCCGTGAACGCTCCCCCGCCGCAGCCCCCGCCCCGCCTACTCCAAAACCAACCACCACCGGCTTTCCAGCTCATCGCCGGCGGGCTAAACCCTCTACTTTTAAACAGCGACGAGACCCAGCTCCGTCTGCATCTGCATCCGCCTCTGCTTCTACTCCGAGTCCAAAGGACGAGAAAACGGCCATTGCGCAGGAGAATGCGCGGCAACTGGCATCCATGTCGGATGCGCAGATTGAACATGAGCGCCAGGAGCTGATGGAAACCTTGGATACATCTTTACTTGAGCGCTTCCTCCGCCGAGCTCGTATCGATGCCGATGACACGTCCACCACCTCCAAACCCACCCGCGAACAACCTGTCGCTCCTGAACCAGTCCAAGACAAGAGAGCGGAAAAAGAAGACGAAGTTGCTGCATCCGCTCCGCTTTCACCACCACCAGCAACAACAAAGACAGCAGCAACCACCTCAACCACAACCGCCAAACCAACCTCCCCCAACGACTCCTCTCAAGATGACGTCCCACCCACTCAAATCCCCTCCGACCTCCACGCCGCCGCCGAACTGCCCCCCTCAGGCAGCGTCCACTTCCCCGCGCCTCCATCCCAAGCCTCCCCAATGCCCAACCTAGATCCATCTTCTCCCTCCTTCCTCTCCGACCTCCAAACCCACTACTTCCCCAACATCTCACACGACCCCTCCGCCCTCTCCTGGCTCCAACCCCCCTCCGCAGACCCCGAAGACCCAGACTCCACGTCCGCCTACCACCCCGCCAGCAACGCCGAAGCCGTCCACCCAGCCAACCTACGCTTCTCTCTCCTCGGCACGGTGCTCTCCCCTTCAACATCTCTCTCCCTTCCCACGACCCTGGGCCTGCACCATCATGGCAAAGACCCCCACGCAGCGGGGTACACCATTCCCGAGCTGGCTATCCTCAGTCAGTCGACGTTCCCGGCGCAGCGGTGCATCGCGTGGCAGGTTCTCGGGCGGATTCTGTTCCGTTTGGGCAAGGGCCAATTCGGAGAAAGAGGGAGTCCGCTGGTCGAGGGGCTGTGGTCTGTTGTGGAGAAGGAGGGTGTTGTGGCGGGTATGTTGGCTGAGGCGGATGGAGCGACACCTGGGACGGGTTCTGCCCGGCGTGGTGGGCAGGAGAAAGAAGGTGAGGAAGAGAAGGCAAAGGAGAATGCTACTACTGGTGCCGGAGGTACTGGTCGTCGACAACATGCTAGTGCTACTGCGTGGGCCGTCGAGGGTGTCTGGCTTTGGCAGATGGGAGGCGGAGGTGATCGGGGCGTGTTGAAGGAGGGTGCGATTCGGTCTCAGTGATTGTCAACCTGGATCTTGACTTATTAGCGATTTCATGACTAAAAGTTCAATATATTATCAATTATAAAACATGTATCATTGCAGGTCTAAGTAATGCACATATCCTCATAATAATTATCATGACTAGACTATATCCGGTACAGTAATGGTATCACCACCTCTCCAGAATCACACAAAACACACACACACATACACACACACACACACACTCTCTCTCTCTCTCTCTCTCTCTCCCGTCGCCACAAATCACATATCCATACATGCAAAGCAGAAAAAGAGAAAAATCGAACACCAGCCTCTCAGAGATCCTAACAAAACTCCACCCAGCCATATCATAAGCAACATATCAATCAACAACAACCCCACACTCAATCAATCATTCATAATCCCCAATCTGCACACCCCAAATCTTCCACCTCATCTCCTCAATATAATCCCTTCTTAGCCAAAGTCCATCCGAAGCACCGACTTGGCCCAGCAGACCCCCATTCTCAGATCTTTCCTGCTCCTCCCTCTGCCTCTCCGCGAAGCGTTCCTCAGCCGAAGACAAGGAAGACGAAGAGGAAGCATCAATCCAATTGAACAACAACCGTAACTGCCAGATGCGATCGCGGACTTCATCCGGATCAGCAGCGCGGCCACGCGCCGCCTGAATGGTATTCTTGACGATGGCCTCGAGGACGAGTTTGCTGTCCACGGCGGATTGGCGCAGCCAGGGGGCGTAAGAGAGGGCAGCGATGTTGCTGTTACTGGTACTATTGGTAGTGGGGAAGAAGGAAGAAGGAAGGACGAGGGACTTTTCGCGGACGTCCAGACCTTGCAGGGAGGGGAGATTGAAGATCCATTCCCACATGCTCTGGGTGGGGGAGGTAGGGGTGCGATTGACGCCGGAGGTGAGGAGGGTGGCGAGATTGGGCATCGCGGCTGGAGGAAGACCCTTGCCGTGGTTGGAGGCGGAGGTGGAGGAGGGGAGGACGTCTTGGGCTTCGCTGAGGCCGGAGAGTGTGGAGACGAAGACCGAGGAGCCGGTAGGGTTGTAGGTGGCTTTGCGGCGGAGGTAGATGGACTGGTCGCCCAGGTGGAATTTCTGGCGCAGGCTAGGGTCCTTAGAGAAGTCCAGGACCAGGGGCCAGTAGTCTGCGTTGCAGATCTCGACTCGGGTGAGGCTGTTGAAGTCGGGGAGAAGACAGGGTGCGGTGATCTTGCGGCTAATGCCGTCTTGGTTGGTTAGGGTGATAGGAATGGAGATGGGTCGACGGGTGTCGATGTCGCGCGGCACCAGGCAACGAGGCTCTGCGGCGAGGACCCAGAGATGCCTGAAGGCTTGTAGATGGCATTTGTTGTCCAGGACGGTTGTAGGGAAGATCGGGTACAGGGAGCAGATCAATGAAGCAATAGCCAGGTCGGAGGTGCCGAGGGTGTAGCTGCCGCCGCCTAGGAACAGTAGGCCCAGGGCCATATGCGCCGCCATATGGCTGCCGTAAGGAGTGTCAGCATCTACGCGGCCATGGAGAGACCGCAACCGACGGAACAGTGCCAAATCACCGGTGCCTGCCATGACAGCGGCGGCGGAGAGGGCCACGACGTCCTGGCAGTGCCGAACGGAGTTGCGAGCCAACTTGGCGTCATAGTTGACAGCAGGAAGTCTGCAGATGCGGATGAACTGGTCCAGATATGCGAGAAGCAGATCACGCACGGAAGTTTGTGCAGAGCCCGCATAGCGAAGGCCCAGGGTGAAGCACAGGCCAGCGATAATATTGAAGAATGGCATATCGTCACTCTTCAGTCGACGGACGCCGGTGAGGCGATACCGACGGCGGTAGACTGGCGGCAGGCTCTGTATGAACCAGTCATCCGTAGAACGAATGCTGTCCCACATAATGAGATGTTTGGCAAGAGTGCGGAGAAGGAAAAGATCAGGCCGAACATAGTCGAAGCGCACTGTGGTGTCTGGGATATCAATCTTCTGGGCCAGAATCTCGTCATTGGTCTTCATGAAGATGATCGCCAAGGCAATTGTAGCACCGGCCGTGGCCCGGTCCAGGACGTGCGCGAGATCCACGTTCTTTGTGCCCACTGCAACGGCCAACAACCTCTCCACGATGTGCATGTCGCGCATTCCTCGGAGGTCTTTACCTTTGGCCAGGTTGATAAAGCCAAGAGCAAGACCTGCAGCCAAGCGATATCCTTCATCGCGCAGGTCCTCGTGGGAGCCCTCCTCCTGCTCCACGTTTTCAATTTCTGACAGCATCACTTCACTCATTCTTCGATGCTGAGATCCACAGTACAGAAGGCCGATGCCCATAATGCCCGCTGTTTGTGTCAACGGCGACAGATTCAGTTCGGCAGCACCAAGAGGAAGCATCCGGGTGACATGGACGGAGAGAAGTCGAGTTATCAGGGTGTCCATGGTGCCCAGATACGAGGCTGACAATCCGAGCAACAATCCAATGGACGTCATTGTATGTTTGGGGGTGAGATATTTGAACGCCACCCACTTGGCCAATGATTTGAGATGCCCGTTCAAGCCCAGTGCCAACAAGAAGCCCGCATGTCTGTTAGTAAGCTCCTGGGGTTTGTTGAAAAGTATCCAGGACGTGTCAATGCCTTTCGAACTCTTCGATATAGCAAGGCCGGTAGAGACGCCGTTGTGGAAGAATGCCCAACACACTTTCTCCTCGCTGAAGGAAGCTCGGTCCGCGCTGATTGTCACGTTCGACGGTTTCATGACGCACTGCAGGGAGAACGAAGGAATTGGGAGCTTCTCCGTCAGCAATGGCAGTCGTCCGCTGAAGGTCAACATGGCCCGACCCGTGGGAATGGAGAGCGTCCTCAGCGTCACAAGCTGTACTACCTCTTTCTGGGCCTCTAGCAGGTCTGAGTCGGTCCATTCCGGCTCGGGTATGCACTCTGCAACCGGCGCTTTGGACTGATTCAGCAACCGAGCGGCGTCAATGAAACGCTTATCCTCACGGAAGATCAGCCTCGTTACTGAGAACCGGTCTGCCTCCGCGGAAGCTTCGAACGAGTTGGTTGCATCCACATCCAATGCAGAGGTACCGATATGATGTACATCGCGTATGGCATCGTGCGAGACTGCTGGCTGCAGCGAAGACGTGGCCGATGGAAGCCATGGCTTGTTCCTGCCCATGGAAATGCTCAGATCTTCGCGATCAATAAGCTCGAGCAGCGTTGAGCTCCAGGACGTGGTTGCATGCATTTGTGACTGCATAATCGCTTCGTACAAGGGAGCGCTGACACCTTCTGGAAAGCTCTCGATGATGCTTCTGGTGAAACCCCAACGATGAAGAAGCTTGACCCGGTCAAATGGTGCCGCGAGGTTATGTACTTCTGAGAGGAACCCGTCGAGAGCCAGCGTCCTTGGGGTGAGCGTAAAGCACTCTTTCCATAGCCTTCCTTTCTTTGGAGGTCTGTCCGGGCTGGTTACCAGGTTCAGGAGCGTGAAGAAAGATTCTGACGGTTGGCGCCAGGCGGTTTCCAGGTGAGCAAATATTGACGGCGGCGGGAACGGCTCTGCAGGGAGATCGAGCATTGAGATGCGAGTCTCCTCGAACTGCCAGCGGTCCATACTAGCCATCTCCATGCCATAATACGCATCTTCGGCCCATCCCCAAGACTGCCAGCCAAGCCACCCGCCAAGTTGGGCCAGAACTGGAGCTAGGAGACCCAGAGGCTTGCCCGATTGCTCGCTATCACAGATCGATAATTTTTGCTCCTCACGGAATAGATGCAACGCGACGAGTATAGTGCATAGTGCGGTGCCTCGTATGCTCTGGTTGAAGGATAACGCCGTGGGCAAATAGCCACCTGAGCCTACTGAGAGTGTGCCCCGAGAAGTGTTCAGAAAGCCCCTTGTCAGAGCAATGCATCGAAGGAGGTATGTGTTCGTTCGGCAAGTGGACCGGCTCGAGGGCACCTGGTGGCCGTGGCTTACTTCATTATCTTCAGCGTCTTGCTCAACTACCCAGGCCCACGAGCTACTGGCCATCCACGGTGCAACCACGCCCCCAGAGCCAGACTCCTGTTCTAACATGGTCTCCCAGCTCTCGAGATCGACGTGGCTTCCACTGCTCGACCTCAACAGCCCCTTCTTTCTGCGAGTCGGTTTGGCGGAGGTCCGCGGTTGATCACTGTCAATGAATTGGATCGCCATTGCAAACAATATTACTACCATGGCTGTCCATTCGAGATCGTTTTCGCTGGTCTCCCTTTCTTGAAGCCATGCCATAGTCTCCCACCAGGCAGCCAAAAGCCCGTCTCCAGCCTTTTCGTCCGATAAGGCAAACCGACAGACATTGAGCAGACGTTTCACCAGCTCATTGCTAGGTTCCATCTGGACCTGCAGTTTCACCTTCCGATTCTCGGAGTCAATTACATCGAACTTTCCTCTGGCTGCAGCATGATCGAAGCCTGTCACGGTGATCGGCGAGTCAGTCATTAGCCGTTTCACACCACTTTCCTTTCGACGGTTGCCAGACGTTTTGGAATTTATGCCGTATGCTTCGTGAAGCATGAGTTTCCGGGGCACCTGAATCGGAGTTGCTTTGCTCCACGGAGTTTGCAACTGCAATACCTGCTCGCCACCGTCTGTCTTCTTCAGGGTCAAAATCCGTGAGATTCCACCATCGACAATCTTGCAGGCATCCCATACATCTGCAAAGTGCTGTATTCCGGAGGCTTGGACGATCAATGATCGTTCTTCGGATAGCGGGTTTTTCTTTGGCTTCTTCGAGAATACCGCGTCCTTCTTGGATACCGCAGCTTTGTCTGCTCGTAGGCTGACGACCGTCATTGACTTTGCTTCTTGATCCACCAAGTAAAGCGCTAAAGCCGCAGTACTTCCAGATTGCGCATTACCGTACTCTGACGGACACAAAGTCATGATTCTGATTTGTCGAGCTGACGGCTTTGACTTGACCGGTGTCTGGAAGGAGACCGAAAACTTTGAAGAAAAGCTTTCAACTTTGGAAAGGAAGACCTCTTCGGGCAGACCTGACGCCGCATGGTTCAAGTCCATATTCTCAAATCCTTCGAAAAGACTCTCGTTGTTCAGCTCTTCAAGCAGTCTATCGACTGGTGCGTCGACAAAGCTACCGGTAGTGCTATACGCTGAGCCATTACCAGGTGGAATAGAACCCCTAGGGTTGAAGCCAAAGCTACCTCGAGTACTTCCAGCTCCAAGAGATTGTCGAAAATTGCCATGTGGCATGGAGCTCGATTGACTGCCTGTGGCTAAATCGGAAAACGTAATCCTATCCTGGCTGGCGGCCAGGTCCGCGCGTGCAAGGAGAGAGCTCACTCGTCTTGATGTCTTGAGTGGCACACCAATGTCCCCAAAGTCTTGACCCAGCTTGGACGCCAGGTCGTCATCATCCGGCTTGCCTTCGACGGAGTATTGCGAAAGCGACAACCCAGACGTGTTCCACCCATCACTTCTTGGGCCAAAGCTTTCTCTAGCACCCGATGGACGACCAGCGGGTGTGGTTGTCCCCGTCGTCATTCCAAAGTGCGAACTGCGTCGCTTCGAACGAGTGCCACCCGTGTCTCTCCTCTCCTTCTTCTTCGATGAGGGCGCAGTCTCGTCTTGTCTATAGTGAGCTGTCCATATCGTGTACAACCCTGTGTTAATATTGACGGTTACCACGAGGATCAAAGGACCGGTGGAAAGCCCCCGATTAGAGCTCGACAATTCATCTCTTGGAGATACATAGACAATTGCATCCGCTGGGTCAAGAACATCCAATCCAGAAGGTCTGGTTGAGACACTAGTTTGTAGCCAACGAGACGACTGGTTAGTCACAACGAGTCCCATTTCTGAGTGCGGATCCATAAGAGAGAACACTCTGGGCATGTCGGCATGTTTGCTTGTCCGTGGCTTCAGGCCAGGTTTGGGGGCAGGGGAAATTGTCAAGGATGGGCGTTTGGATTTGCCAGAAGGTATGTCCAGCGACTGAGATGCACGGAAGTCAGGTAGGGATGAGACGAACGAATTCGGCGGCGCTGCTGGTAGCGAGGTATTGGATTCCTCCTCGTGTAGTTTTCTCTGAATCAAAAGGCCCTTGGGGGTCGCAAACACCGAATCAACTTCGAACGGTAGGGGCACGACATGGCTGTTCCCGGCAAGAAAGAAGATGTGAGCCTGGGATTTGAGGACGACGACCAAGGCTCGCGCATTGTTCGCGTCTGTGCCGCTATTATCGCGAGAACTTTCGCCATTCTGACCCAGCATCAACAATGAGCCCTTCGATATCCCAGCACTAAGATGATCAGGCGAGCCTCGACTGCGGCGTGAGGTACTGCCTGGCTGCGCTGCCTCGCCTTTCAAGGATTCCGAGACACTTGACTCGGACCTCTTGATCTTTCCCACCGCAAACCTCGTCAACAAAGCATGCCTGATCTCCTCCTTTTCTAGATCAAGCCGGAACACTCTCTTGACAACCCCCGCTCGTGACCAAACCGCACAGCTTCTTGTCCAAACAATCTCATCTTCGACCGGGCCGTTGGAGTCTCGATCAACGCTCGTTGTCCATGAATAGAGCTCCTCCGAGGGATCGGGAGGCAAGAGTCCTTCTGCGACGAGGAATGCGATGGCCGAGGGCTCATGCAATCCGAGGGATCGAACTGTAGCCATTATCGGTGTATATCGTCGGGCGTAGCGGTAGAAATTCTGGCAGTGCGAGCCAGAGGCGATATCATGCCCATTGTCAGGTTAGACCATCAAACAGGCAGGCCAGCGCGCTTGACGGATCAACGACAATGGGCGTTGTTGGGGCGTTGTTGAGGTGGTTGCGGCGTGAGGGGAAGCAAAGGCAGGCTGTTGCTTGGAGACGCGATGGACGCGGCGGGCCAACTTTCCATCCTCAACTCAGCGGCTTTTTTCCTCCGCGGCCTCCCCAAACTTCCTTCTCTTTCACCTTCTTCCTCACCACCCACCCACTAACTGCCTTTCTCAACGCTCGCTCTTCTATCATACATGATTATTCTTAGTTTCTTCAGCTACAGGTCATAACCACATCTCTATCGCTAAGCTTGGTAACACAATCTGCCTGTTGGCGGCGTCGGTCTCCCTTTGAGCTCTGTTCTTGACCGTACAAACAACCGCCACCACAACAATGCCGTCCTTCCCATCTCGACCTCTGGTAAGGCCTAGGGACGATGGCCTTCAATTAAGGTAGATTCAAATGCCGTTCTAGGCCGTGACAGCAACCCCGTGCTTACCAGACACTCCATCTAGCTACCAACTCCCTCATCGTGTGCACGCAGCTCAAGGCTACCCCCTCCTTGCCCCCAATGGCTCGTCGATCGTTGTTTACGGTTATGAGACTGGACTGAAGGTAGTCTGGAGAGGAGGAAGACAGTTTTCCGCCGAGAAGCCTTCTGCGCCGAAAGTGGACAAACCACAGAAAGCCAGCAACGCCAATGATGATGCGGTCATGATCATCGATTCCGATGACGAGAGCATGGCAGAGACCCAGCACACTCAGCAAGATGAAGAGCCCACCTATCAGTTCGAGGAGGATGAAACCGAGGTGGACCCCTTCCACCCTTACGACGATGTTTTACGCCAGATTGATATACCCCTTGGAAGCAGAGTCCTCCAGCTGGCTGTGCCTCGTGTCCTCCCTGAAACAGCGCGCTCTTCGCTCGATCCCTTTCCCCCGGTCCTGAAGAAGGACATCATAGTTGCCGCTGTGTGCGCGGACTATTCTACTCGCATTGTAACTCTGCCTTTGCTTCCCCCTCACCCCACGCAGAGCGATTTCGGAATTCAGACGATCTCAATCAGCGGTGGAGTATCGCACCAGGAGATCCCGCGGGGAGTCAGCATCGCATTCACCTACCAAGAATTTGATCAGCAAGATCAGGATACATCTTCAAGCCGTGGTTCATCCCGCTCAACTACAGGAAGGTGGGATCTCCTCGTCGCGACACATTCGGCTGAGTCGTCAGGCCTCTTGATCATTCATCGGATTCCGGTCGCAGAGGATGAAAAGGCCCGCGGCACAGTATATCGTCTATGCGATGATGAGATTGAGACTAAGCGACGAAACTTGCCCGCCCCTGCTGTGAATATCTCTTTCAATCCCTCGGGTTACCCTGCCCTTCGACACTCCACGTTGCTCGTCGCATTCCACAGCGGATGTGTCAAGGTATACTCCTGCTTTTCCACAAAACCACTCAAGGCCTCGCGGAGGTCGTCCGGGGCTCAGAGCGAGTTTGAGACAGTCGACACGGAAGGGAGGTGGTTGATCAGTCTTTACCCCGGATTCGAGCAGTCTGCTTCGGGGCTCCCTCGGCGGAAGATCATCACTCACGCGGAATGGGTGCTTGGAGGTCGTGCCATCTTGGTCCTCACATCTGATGGCGAATGGGGTGTCTGGGATTTGGAAGGGGCTGGCCCCGGAACCATCAAGGGTCCGCTTCAGCGACAGTCGAGTGTACAGGGAGTGACGGGAGGCTCTTCGACAACGTTCTCCGTCAGCGGTAGGATTCTAAGTCCCCTGCCTGGCGCCAGTCGGTCTGAAACAAGCGGACCTTCCTTCGAACAACGGCCCAAGTTTGCGCCCTTGACGCCATCTACTAAACGTCTGCGCGAAGACACGCTGCTCAAAGGCGCCTCCGTTGGCACAGCCACCCCATCCCTGAGTGGAGGAATCTCGGTGTATCAGACTAACTCTTGGAGGGACGCGCTGCCCGATGAATCGATTTTGCTGCAGCATGGAAACCAGAGCGCAGTCATTCCCAGTCTGCTCTCCTTGTGGCGCAACGCTGTCAAGGCTAGTGGTACATTTGACTCATCCAACCGCTGCCGGGTGTCTCCTCTCCAAGATATCACCCTAGTAGGAGAGCGCCTGAAAGGCATCGGACACCTCCCTGCGGCGCCCCGCTCCACACGCACACAGCCATTTGACATGCTTCTCACGGCCGAGCATCGACTCGTGATTCTCGCCCCACGGTTGACTGAACCAGCACCAGCACCCGTTACCGAATACATCCCCGAGCCGCCCACCAAGGAAACAGACCAGCAAATGCTCCAAAGGGGCCAGCTCGGCGTGGAAGGAATGGACCGACTCCTAAGTGGCATGGCGAGCACAAATCGGTCCCTCCGTATAGGAAGCCCCGTCAAGCGGACACGCGTCTTTACTTGAACAGACGCAAGGTCAACAGCAGAACAGCCACCTTCCCTTCCCCACATATGCTCAACATGTTCCTAACAAATGAAGCTGAAATCAAGAACAGAGATACCCATCCATCAACTTGCACCTCTCTTACCTCTTTCCTCTTTTCCACCCGTAGACCCCATTCCCACAAACTTCGCACTGCAAGGTGGAGCGCAAGGCGAGGTCCATGCCTTGAAATCCCTTCCTTCCCACCCTTCCTCTCCCACGATCCCTATCGTGCGAGAAAGAAGGGGGCCGGGTTCGAAAGGATAAGCTCTGTATCGGTCGCGAGACATCAACCATCACATCCCATCATCCAATCTTCGTCCTCTAGGACCTCTTAAAGGACAAGAAATCAACCCTCCCCACAGCCGAGTTATCATTAAACCCAGCAACCACCCCATCCTCAAACATCAGATTGAGCCCTCTGCTCCTTTCCCTTCCTCTCCCTCGTGACTCGATACTGATCTATCCGTCTGTTTTTATTCTCTGTCTATGCGTTCACGCAGGGATGGAGAGGTGCTTCTGTATCTCTTCATCTGGATGGAGTTTGGATGGAATTATCTACATCAGTATCAGATACGAGTGGATGGGTTAGGGACTGCTGGTGTTGGAGGTGGGGGTTGGGTAAGGGGGGTTGAAATTGGTGGGAACATATTTGTTTTTGTGTTTTGTTTTTGTTTTAGTGTAGGTCATAGGTCTGTCTGTAGATGTATGGTCAGGAAAGGATTATCAACATAAATCAAATTGCTTCTCGATAAGTTGTTTATATCTCATACTTCATTTGCGAAACCACTGTCAAGGACAATCGTCGTAGAGTAGTACTAGTGACTGGGGGAGCATTCAAACATATATATACATTTGTCCACGGATCAACCCACCTGACAGCCAAAGGAGAAAAGCTTGTGAGGATAATCATGGATTCAATCAGATTCAAATTAGTAACCTGTTTACTATATATTGAAAGCTACCCAAAGCGTATCCTCATACGAATGATTGGGATGAATGGGAACATAACCAAATTACTACTAATGTATACTGAGTGTTGCACGGAGGAAAGTAAGGTCTAAGAATCATCGTTCTGTCTCTTCGCTTCTTCTTCTTCTTCTTCTCATTTATTTTTCTTTTTGACTCTTTCGGTGTATGTATATACAGATATACAGGGTAAAATAGCTAATGTCACCCCTCGCTGAACACAGTTCTAACACACCAGAAAGCTATATCATCGACATCCATCCAGATCAGATCAGAGAAGATAATACTCCGTCACAGCAAACAGACCAGCCAGAGCCACTGGACAATATGTACAATTCATACAGGCAGCCAGCCAAGAAGAGAAAAGAAAAGTAAAAATCATGATATAGTGTAAGGGAGCAACGCCAACAGCGCAGAAACCGGTGCGCATATTTCCAAATGGTTGTTGATTGAAATGCTGTTTAGTAGTACTCCAGATCCATGACCCAATAGGATATGGGTGCCTCTGCTCTATCCATTGTAGCCCAGACCTTCGAGCTCCTTGCGCACCGACTCTTCAGTCTGGATCTTCTTCATCTGCGTATCCTCGAGCTTCTCTCCACCGGCAAGGCGCATTTTCAGCTCGTCGATCGCGCGGATCTTCTTCAAAAGACCGCGAATCTTCTTGTCCTGCGCGGAGTGAGCACCGCTCGCGTCGGCTGCTGCGGCGGCGGCGGCAGCGGCAGCAGCAGCGTTGTTGGCATTGGCATTGGTCTTGGGTACCTGAGATCCATTGGCCTGGCCACCGTTCTTGCGCTCATTCTGACCCTTGGAACGGTTGTCACCCTTCTCGCCGCGGCGGTCCGGGCTCGGCTCGTCCTCACCATCCTTCTGCTTCTTGGCTTCACGCTTCTTCTTGTTGCGCGCAGCGGACTTGGACAGCTTCTCCGGCTGGTCGGCACCAGGAGGCAGAGCGACTCCACCTCCAGGAGCGGCTCCCGGAGGAAGGAATTCCTCGGCCGGCTCGGCGCCCGGCACCTCACGTCTGCGCGTCCGGCCAAATCCGTTCGTGGTGTGAACGGTAGCACCGCCACTGGCACCATCCCGAACAAAGACCGCGCCGCCCTGATCCTCGCGCTTGAAGGCGAGAGGGGTGAGCTGGCCGCGAGCACCGGGAGGCCGGTACGCACCGGCGGGCTTGACCGGAGCCTTCTTGGTGCTCAGGTACGCCACGGCGGAGGGGTGGGGGGTCGGAAGCGGGCTGAACGGATCGCCGAGGGGGTGCTGGATCAGCGACTGGGGACGCCAGCACACATCGTAGAGCTCGTTCATGTCCTCGTTGTACATCAAAGCACCGCTGACATGCCAGATACGGATGCCATTGTCGACTCTGAGGCGAGGGCTGGTGGTGGCCGTCAGGATATACTGACCGTCGGGAGACCAGTTGCAGACACTGGCGTTGGAGGCTTCGACGGTGGCGATCTTGTGGAAGTTCTTGTCCATGTCGTAGATGTCCATCTGACCGGCCAAGTTACCGAAACCAGCCACCAGCACGAATCGTCCGTGGGGCGAGAAGAGGATGGTATTCCGAGGGGCCAGAGCGAAGGTGTGCTTGGGCACACCACGGAAGTTGAAGATGGTGGTCTTCGCGGGCATGTAGCCGTACACCACACCGAACTCCTTGGAGTTGGGAGACCAGGTCACATCGTGAATAGGTCCCTCCTTATCCAAGTCCACACGAGAGTCGAAGCCACCACCAGCACTGAGCAGGTAGAGAGTGGTCTCGCCGTAGTAACTCTTGCCCGACCGATCTACGTCTGTCTGCGCAAGCACGATCAGGGTGGTACCCTGCTCGTTCCACTTCAGCTGGACCTTGTCGCCCTTGAAGAAGGTCTTCTGCGAGACGGGGGCTCCAAACTGAGGCACCAAAAAGACCTTGACAGCAGCGGGTTGTCCCTAAGCAGCAATTTATTAGCTCTGGAATAATGATAGTCTTATCGGGGTTGTAAACAAGTGCACCATACGTACCTTGCGCTCAGGAATGAAGACGGCCACAGAGTGGTTCTTGCCAGGAGCGACGGCAAAGTCCGCAACCCCCTCCACACGCAACTTATTCCAGACCTGAGACAAGTTCTCGCTCTGGTAGAACTGGACTTCGTTGGTGACGACCCGGGCACAGTAACGCTCGTCGGAGGTGTATTGAAGGTTCCAGCCCGTCTGCGACTTCTGGACGAACTTGCCCACAGGCGTGTCCACATCGCCGTTCTCGGACGACTGCACGACCTGCCAGACCTTCAGATTCTTGACGGCATCGCCGTTGGCATCCTTTGAAGAGCGTTGCCAGGTGATCAGGTAGGTTCCGAGGGGCGAGAATCCCAGCTCGAAAACGTTATCAGCAGCGATGGTCGAGACCACATGTCCGACAGAGGGATCGACGATGGTGACCCTAGTAAGCAACTTGTAAGTTTCCTTTCCTCCTTTATCGGTTTGAGTGAGAGTCGGTTGACGTACTTCTCTGGGGATGCCCATGCGAAATACCGGCCGCAGGGAGAGTAAGCGCTACAGCGAAGGTTTCCTTCGGGTCTGCAAACAGAAAATCAGAAGATTAGCAAGCTATTCGGAGTAGAAAGATCGAACGAATTAGACGTTACATACCTTTCGAACCCCGACAAAGGTTCATAAACTGGGGCGGCATCCAAAATGCCAACGCCCTTGACCGTACGGTCTGTAGCTAGTTAGAGTTGCCCTTGAACAGCAGAAGAATTCCCCGAGAAAGTAAAGCGATGTTTTCTTTTTCTCGAGTCCTCTATTATAGGATGGGACGAAGAATAAAATTGTGGGTAGACTCACAAGCAAGCTGAGTGGGAGCTGCCATTTCGAAATGTCTCTCAACGTTTCACTCTGGTAGGACGAAACACGTATTCACAAAAGCCACGGGAGCAGCTAGAGGCGCGCGCGCAGACGGTGCTAATGCGACGGACCAGGGAATATCACAAAACCCAGGATCTCAGTGGTAGAAGAAGAGAAACGTTCCCCGCCACTTAGGTAGTGTGTAACAGGGCAGCAGAAAAATTGCACGGATAGTCTTCGGAAGAGTTCCAGCGGGAAGACTGAACGGGAATATTACTACCGGGGGGTAGAGATAACGAAGACGAAAAGATAGATCGAGAGTGGACAAGGTGTAAGATATTGGCCGTTGGGAGGTTGAAAGCGTGGCGAGAAGTTGTGGTCTGGAGTGCCGCGAAACACACAAACACACACAAAGACTCAAAAGTGGATGGCAGCGAAGCTTGGCGGGATTGAACGAATACCTCAGTACGAGTCTCCGGTTCCGAAGGGGAATTTCTCGATGCTTGACAAGTCAATGCCAGCAATGACAGGGACAGGAAGACAGTCGGGGTTGGAGGGAGGAGGAGGGGGAAAGGAAGTTGAAAGGGGGTGGGGAAGGTGACAAGAGGAAGAGAGAGAAGAGGAAGAGGAAGAAGAAGAAGAAGAAGAGGCGCTGAGAGAGAGAAGCCAGACTGAGGGAGTGAAAGGCTGAAGGGGGGACCCGCGATGGAATCCCCTCTCCCCATTGGGCGATCTCGGCCCCAGTTCACCAAGTTCCAGTTGAATTGTTGCTCGTTTTTCGCCTCCATTTATTCTTTTCCCCAACTACTACTTTTTCTTAAGTTGTTACTACTTGCCGCAAATCAATTATTACTTCCTAGATTAATAGATGACTACTATGTTTACTGCTTTACATGGAAAGTACTGTCAGAGGGACAACAAGTAACAGAGATCCCGGGAGTCTAGACTTTTGGCAATTGTGAGGGAAAAGAAGATTCGCCCCGATTCGCCTGTTGGAGTCAATCTGGTCCTGCTCCGGTCGGAATGGAGATCCTCCTCGTTGGACCCGTAATGCTTAGATTAATCTAATCCCAATTAACTTAACATCATCGTAGTTTCGTCAAGACTGGCTGGTGGGCATTTTCAATTGCTTCACAAATAACCTGGAATAAAAATGAAATAGAATAAATAAATGAAAACAAATGACTCGCTGCTAGCTAACTATTCTACAAATATTCATTGATATCCCGACTTTCCCCTCTCACTCTCTCTCTCGTCCTAGAGAACCATGTAAATAAATGACCAGAGCCCACAAAAGCCTCCCTCGTCAATAATGATCTTATCCTCCTTTCTCCCCCCTTCCATCAAAAACATGTCCCATTCTTTTTCCGTACAATTACAATGCCAAAAACCCTTGAACTTGATTGAAGCTTGAAAATACTTGGCAGCAACGCCCGTAATCCTATCCTTTTGACAACCCGACCTTATGGACATCGGTCTGTCTGTTTGTCTGTCTCCCTCTTTCACTTACAAAAGAAAGCAAACTAGTAACTCAAAAAGTCGGCTGCTCGCCACCTTGAGCGGGAGTGGCCAATCGCGGGGTCCTCACCGTGGTGTCAATCACATCCGAGTCGAACGTCATCCCATCGACCATCCGCGCATCTTGTGTAGGTTCTGGTGTCACGGATCCGGTCGGCGACTGGGTCGACAGCAGCATCGCGCCCTCCCCAGAGTGTTGCTGATGGTGGGATGCGAATGCGCTCGCACGGCTCACTCCAGGGCTGCCCAACGAGGTAGGTCGATGTCCCGATGATGTTCGGTTCAGCAGCGGATGTGAAGTTGGTCCACTAATGGTACTGGCACCTTCGCCGAATGCCACCAGGCTAGCGTCGCCTTCATCGCTGTAGTTGCCTACACTGGACGTCCCGTCCTCCGGGTACTCGCTCATTCGGTCTGCATCGAACGCATCACTGCCACTGGCCCAGGTCGTGCGGGCGCCCACGCTGCCTGTCGCACTGGCACTACCTACCGTACTTCTTTCTTTGACCCCAGATCCACTGTCAAAGTAGCCGGGGTATTGAGTCCCTGCCATCATGCCCGAGGGCTGTGGAGTGCCACCCGCTCGAGCCGTAGCCACTCGTTCCAGGCCTGCTAGACGCGAGATACGGTCGGCGCGTTCTGCTTCCAGCGTGGTAGTGGATGTAGCAGATGCGGAATGGGAGTGGTGGGCGTGACGACCGTGGGGAAGAGGCTGACCCTGATGGCCATCTTTAATGGCGGTTGTAGACAGGGCCGACAACGAAGTCGTGCCGGAGTTCGGGGTCCCTCTAGTGCGTCGCAAACTTCTTGTCAGCCTGATCTGATAATGGTACTAAAGAAATGAAGATAAAGGCGAAAGGCTGCATGACACAATCAGAATGAAAGCTTGAACAAGCTGGGGAACTTACGGCCCCATGTCTGATGGAGTCACTGGGTCCGATGGCGGGGGAGGGAGATTGATCAGAGTGGGAGTAGTCATTTTGTCCTGATAAAGCTCGGTTGAAGTTGAATATTCACAAAATGTAGGGACGTCTGCCCAAAGTGAAATGCAATAAACGATAGAGGTAGATGGCGCGATATAATGAGGGTGTGGTCCTTCAAGGAGATGCAGCGGTAAGGGTGTCGATCTGGATGCGAAAGACTAGGGGAAGCAAATAACAAGATGGTTTGAGAGAAGAGACGAATGGATCTGCGGGGCAGTGAATTGGCTGGTCTACTTATGATAAACCAAGTCGCGTAACAATAAGAGACGGGGGGGAACCGTGGTAAGAGTTGGGAGATCGCAATGGGGGTTTTTTAAGTTTGGGTGCGGAGGGTCCAAAGCCAGCTTGGTGGTGGTAGTAATAGTAGTACTGTGGACTAAATAGTAACAGGAGGGTAAGTAGTAGTAGAAGTAGTGGCAGTAGTAGTAAGTAGTTAGTAGGAGGGAAGTAAATGAATGAATGAATGAACGGGTCAGTGATGAAAGTGAGGCTGTCGGTGGGCCAGCACCATTCATTCAAACCTTCAATCTGAAGCAGATTCGCCTTCTTTCTTTTTCTTTTTTGGTTTTCTTTTCTTAGAACACTGTCTCCCAGCCTCAATGCAGGTCCATTCCAGGCGTCTTCTAGTGGATGTTTCGGAAAGCCATCGTCAGTTCCCCGCGGTTTCGGAGGGGGCATTTTCCCCTGGAGGTGATTATGACTAGTCCAGTACTCCGTAGTACTCCGTAGTATGATGATGAATGCTTGAACTCGGCTCCCTCTCTATGCCATGGTCCCAAAAGGGTTTAGTCTCTCCCCCAGCAGCCCCTGACGTCACCCCCGCCGCTGGCATTTCACAGACCAATCAGCATCGGGCGCGGGGCTCGACACCTGGGAGCCTGAATGGTCGGGTTCCGAATGCAGCCTCCCACTACACCTCTCTCACCCCAACCTGGAAAGAATGTACGCCATACTTGCATTCCCGTTCCATCTGGACCCTCGAAGAATGACTCTATTATTGTGGCATTGGTTTTGTATGGTGACAGGTCTAATGTACTGTGATAGCGCTGCGGCATTCACTTGTTCGAGAAGGGGAACATAAACATAAGTTGAAAAATAAGATGTAAAAAAAGAAGTTAGAAGTTGTCATCCACCCCTCTGGCCTTTTCCTCCTTCACTCTCTCCTCCGTAATGTCCCACCACCAGCTGTGTGGCGCTTCCCGGCTTGAGCGAGGTTCGCGACCCGACCGGACAGCCTCGCTCTCATCCCATGGTTTGGGGTTGAGCAAGTAGTGCATATTCTTGACGCTCTCGTCTCGCCAGATCGCATCATGAATCCCCTCCCACCGCATGGTTTTGAGCGCATTGTAAATGTATGGCAGCGCCACCCATCGCCCAAAGAACACATCTGATAGCAGGGATTGATCGGCAAATTCATAGTTGGTGGTCGCAGATGAGGACAGCTGCGCCAGAATCTTATCATAGACTTCGTGGGACGGATTGACCACCTGGAGACCGCCGTTGGGGATACCCAGCCCGGCCGTGGGTGATGCGCCCTCTGTTTGCGCGACATCCGGGGTGGCATGCTGGGATGTGTATGCGCAATTGGATGGAATCCTGGACAATGGTGCATTAGTATTTGTTTACTTGTCGGATAAGTTGTGTCCTCGTAGGACTCGGGAATGGAAGATGGATAGTCCATACCAATCAGGAGGGTAGTGCGGCTTCTGCAGCGGGTTACAGACACAAGCATGACTGGCGGCAAAAACACGAATCCCTGTCCCAGCCAGGGCTGGAGGGTCTAGCTCGAGCTCCATCAACTCATCCATGTTGCGGAGAATCATCATGTCACTGTCCAGCTGCACAACGCGCTCATACTCCACAAGAGAGAAGGGCGTAAGTTTGCTCCAGCAGTCATAGAACCGCACATCATTGACGTAGTCCTTGGGAACCGAGGGCAGAAGATAAGGGACACGCTGCTTCAAAATTCCACGGGCATCAAGAGCAGCATGACCTTCCGCCGGGAAGGAGTCCGTGTAGAGAGCAATCAGCGGATATTTCGAGCCCACTTTACGGAGGGAGTATTCCAGGGTCAGTAGCCCCGACAGGTAGGCAGTGTTTGTAATTAGAGTTGTCCATACTGAGATGTGTTAGCTATGAGTGCTCTCGAAGAGTTCTAGTGCCATGGTTGTGGACAGTACCTTTTGTCGCATCAGTTATGCGGGGGGCACTGGTATTGTGGGCCATGGCCGGAAGAATATAGATGCTTCAATTAGAACCGAGTCGCCGAATGAGAGATTTGCACACCAGGATTCACGCTGGACAGCTGCCTGGTATTACTTATGGCGAATTGATACTCGCGCTTGCAGTTCCGGAGACGACTTTGTCAGGCACTGAACAGCAAGAAGTCAGAAGAGGGGAAGGAGTGAGGGACGTGGGGATTGAGGACGCGGTCGATGACTTCGGGTCATCGGGAACCTCTCATCATCACGGAAGCCTAACCGGCTTCGTCTTAGTGATATTCACCATCCTTATCTCGATGACACCATTAGTCAGGGATCGGACATGGAAAAATCTCGAAGCTTTAGATATTAACATTACTACTATGCATAGTAGATACTAGATAGATATTATCTGTATATATTCCCTGCTATCGAAAGAGTGGGCCCGCGGCTGAAGGTGTTCTTCACTAACGATAAACAAGAAATGAGAAAGTCAAAAGTAGCATCTTACATGGATACGATAACTCTCCACTGTTACTACTTACAGTTCTTATCAAACACTTCCAAATTAGCCTGCTTGATATACGGAGTACTACTCATTACAGTACAGTACTCTCCGAACAAGAGCAGTTACAGCATAATATTGCTTACTAACATGCATTAGGTAGTTATGCTCCACATAACAGGAGACACATTTCCTAAGAACTCACTGTTCGATCTAATATTAATCATGAAACCAGACTATTTATTGCATATAAATACTATTAGTTGTGGTCTGCAACAGATCTTTGCCTGTTCGGGATCAGGCGGTCAGTCCCGTCCATGGAATCCTCTTGATGCCTGGGGATATTAATGGCTCTTCTTTACTTTTTCTTTACTCCGCCCCGAGCCCGGAGAAAGTAAACAACCTCCTTTTATCAATTCCACCCTCAGCCATCATTCCTATTAGTTTCCACCTGCTTTGGAGTTGAACAGCTCTTCTACTGCTAGCAAAGAGACTGATAAATGCCCGATCTCCTGCTCTCATGACGGAGCGCAGCAACGAGGCGGAGCCTCTCATCCGCGATGGATGGGTGCCGCCGGACTCACATGTACCGCCAGATGCTTCCCCTGACGAGGCATCCAAGAGCAGCGCATACCTCTTCATACTGACCCTAGCCATGGGAGGGTGAGTACTTAATGGCAAGAACTTGCTTCATTGTCCTCATTGACCCGTTTCCTAGTCTCCAAATTGTCTATTCGATCCAGCATTCCAGTGGATCAGTAAGTTGTAAACCTCGAGAAATTAAGCAAAGTATCAGTAGCTAATTTAGACATCACTTATCCTATAGCCGTATCTTCTATCTCTAGGAATGAGCAAAGCGCTGCTTGCCTTTGTCTGGATTGCAGGGCCCCTTACAGGCACTCTTGTGCAGCCTTACATTGGCATCCGAAGTGACAATTGCCGCATCTCCTGGGGCAAGAGAAAGCCGTTCATGGTATTCGGTGGCGTACTCTTAGCTATCTGCCTGCTAGCTCTGGCGTGGGTGCGAGAAGTAGTGGGTGGCCTATTTGGCTTGTTTGGCCTTGATGTCCAGGCAGGTGAAACCAAAACTGCAGTCATTGTGGCTGCAACGCTCTTAATGTACTGCCAAGACTTTGCCATCAACACTGGTATGATATCCACTCTATCTTGGCTCTCCTGTAACATAATTCTGACATCCTGTCACAGTTCAAGCAGCCACCCGGGCTTTCATTGTCGATAATGCCCCGGCTCATCAGCAGGAAGCGGCAAATGCCTGGGCAAGCCGTCATGTCAGCGCAGGGAACATCTTCGGCTTCATCATTGGCGGTTTGAATCTGCCGAAGATGATTCCATTCCTCGGAAATACACAATTTAAAGGGATCAGCATAATCGCTAGCGTCTCACTGGCAATTACTCTATCCATCGGTTGCGCTTATATCAAGGAAAAGGATCCGCGTATGGAGCCGTCTTCACCTGCCAGTTTAGGGTTTGTTTCATTGCTTCAGTCCATTAGAGACGCAGTTCATCGTCTTCCGTTGCGCATTCGCCAGGTCTACATTATTCAGGCTGCAGCATGGTATGGGTGGTTTTCGTTCTTGTTCTACGCCACCACTTACATAGGGCAGTTGTATGTGAACCCTATCTTCGAAAGGCATCAAGATCTATCGGATGATGAGATCAACAAGGTATGGGAGGATGCTACACGCATCGGTACTTTAGCGATGCTTGTGAATGCACTAGTGTCCTTTGCAGCGAGTATCATCCTGCCAATGCTGGTTGTTCCTTCAGAGAGGCAAGTGGCAGCTGAAGCGAACACTAGTTCAAGCAGCTTTCGCTTGAAGTTAAGGATCCCTGGTTTATCACTACGCCGTGCATGGCTCCTCTCTCATTGCCTATTTGCCATCTGCATGTTTAGCACGTTCTTTGTTTCCACCCCGGGGCAGGCGTCGGTGATGACTGGAATAATCGGCATTGCCTGGGCTGTCACAGCGTGGGCACCCTATGCCCTTATCGCGTCTGAGATCGCTCAAGATGACCCCGGACGACCGGCACATCGTCGAGAGAGATCCGGCGAAGTAGAAGGAGCAAGTATTCTGCCATATGTTCAGGAATCTGACGAACCAAGAAGGACAGAAGAAAAATCAGTAAACCAAGCTGGTGTCGTCCTTGGTCTACATAATGTCGCTATTTCCTTCCCCCAGATCATTTCCAGTGCGATAGGCAGCCTCATCTTCAAGGCACTGCAGAAGCCACGGGGACAGCCTTGGGATACCAGCACAAGCTGGGTTATGAGGCTTGGAGGATGTGCTGCCATTCTTGCAGCTTGCCTGACAATGGGGCTCCACGAGCAGTCTAGGAGAAAGTAGAACACATGATGGCCACCGCACAATCTCGGTATCTCACTTGGGACTAGAAATTACAAATAGATCTTGGTATTCGACATCTTTCATTATCAAAGGCCCCTCAATGCCTTCATGTGCCTGCCGACCGTTGGTTTTTGGCAGCATCGTAGCGGCACTCAAAGCTGGAGGAGTTGAAGCGCCTCGTTCTGTTATTGCGATCATGCAAGGCGCTGGAAAGCCTCGTGAAGGGGATCCAGGCGCAATCAACATGCATTCTATTTGCGGAGATGAACATCGATGGTGTTCTCAGCCGGAGTCCACTCGGATCCTGCGACGACGGCGGTCGATGGTTGGCGGCCGAGGCGCTCAGATGCATTAGCGCAGCAACCCTTCATCATCCCCTCAACTTACTTATCCCAGGCCCCTCCAGAGATCATGAGCTCGCCTTCGATGTCAGTCAAGAGTATCGTCGCTCGGCTGCTCGCTGGGTTCAGCCTCCAAATGGATGTCTCGTCAACTGTGGCTACCTGGCTCTCTCTTGCCGTTACGGTGGTAGGGCTGGGCTCCATTGTCACTCAATTCGGGACGATCATCGATCAGACTGACCCCTTCCACACCCTGCGAGACGTACAACACCTGGGCCGCTGGCGGTTCTGGCAGCCACATGTACCATGGTATAGAGTCGTGAAGCCCCCTCTTGTCGGGCCTGTAATCAACGCCAATTTGCCATGCGGGCTCTGTGGCAGAAAGACCGTTCATGTCAGTCGGCGGCCACTCGCGCAGCCAACAGGTAAGGCTGCATGGTCTATCCTGCTCAACGTCATTCATCCACCTTCTACCACCCTGGAACAGCCCTCCCAGACCGGCTCGTTAGTCTCTACCAAAAGCCCCGTCAAGACCGAGCACGTCGTGACCCTCTCGGGAGAACCGCCAGTCCAGCTGCCAACCTGGGATAGCCTCCCTCGAGGCCCTCTCACCAAGCACAAGCTAACCGCTTGCACGGTCATTTCTCGCGCAACCCTCATGGCTCTATTTACCGTAACCAATGCTCGACCAGTCTTCCGACACAGCGGCGCATCTGGCCATTGAGCCGCATACGCCTCCTACTGCGGACAATGGTACGTCGAGTGGCCCATTGGTGACGCCGCACACGTCCACTTCGCGGCCCACGATTCGCACACTCTAAACAAAGACGTCTACCCCCCGACCTTTGAAGTCCGTGTCGACCGCTGTCTGCGCATGCTAGCCGGTGTCATCGAAAGCCCCGCGTCCTCTCCACCATTCAAATGCGCCTTCCCCGGCCGCAAAGCATCGGGCAGGTGGGTTCTCGAACACATCGTGCGAGGCTTTGGCGGCGCCCACGGCAGCAGACACCTCTACAACATGATTGGAGGCAACGTCAATGAAGTCGATCTCCTATTGATGAAGCCCGTCACTGAGGACACTAATGACTACGACATACCAGAGCTACAATCCAATTCCACCACTCTCTCCCTCCCCAGCACCGAATCCAACCCCCGCCACCAATCCACTACCACCACTACCACCCACTCCGTAACTCTACACATCCCACCCCACGAAGCCACCATCCTCAACACCTGCCTCGACTACCTCCCATGGTCCTCCCTCTCATGGTCCATCCACCGCGGCCCCCGCGATATCCTCCTCGCCTTCGCCAAACCTCGCATGAATCATTACCGCGCCCAACTCGCCCATACCCTCCGCACCACCGTCTCCACGCACGCAGATTATCTCATCGCCCGCGGCTGGGACGCCCAGTTCGTCCACAATGGCAGCATGGCCGATCTAGCCGCGGGTGCCGTGCTAGCCGGGAGCGGCAATTCCGGGGACGCAGTGCGTATTGTAACGGATATAGCGGCAGTGTGGTATGAGGGGCGGAAAAGAAGGACTGGTGATGGGTTAGATAGTATAGTATCATTCGATGAGACCATGTTTTGGAGAGTTCCTCACCAGCCGGGGGAAGAAGTAGGTGGAGAGAGGGGAGAGTTAAGTTCCATGGCTGTTGTGGCGCTAGTCAAGTTCTTTGTTTTGGAATGGAGTGTGGAGTTGGATTATCAGATGTATCATGATTTGCCGTTGGAGTTGTATTTGGGATGATACCTTATACATATCTCCTTTTTCTTTTCCTTGTTGAATCTTTCTAGAGGGGTTTGCGGTTATTGATATCGTGGTGGTGATTTATCATGCTGAAAAATGGACAGAGAAATAGAGTGGTATAGTAACCCATTTCCATTCTTGTTTTTAAGTAGTCAAATTTATCCAGTATATTATCCTCCTGTGAAGGGATTGCATGCGCGATTTCTCTCTCTCTCTCTATAGTAGAGAAGGGAATCAACGGTGTTATACCTACTAGTATTCAGTAGATGTAGTACTAGTAGTCCTTGTGACTGTTGATAAATATAAATTGTAAGTTGAAACTAGCGAACTGGTCGTGTGACTATAGTAGTATCACATATATGGGCTACTCGAGATATGTACCATCTGCTAGTATTCATTATGAGTAATTGGACTCCATCAACTAAGTGATTGATTCATTGATCAACCATATTCAATACATGCATACCTTTCCTAAACAACTGAATAGTATGCGTTGGGAGAGCATTGCTACCAGCATAGTAGTAGTACGTGCTAACCATGGCCTCTCTATGCAAGTCTGCAGTCAAACTCTTGTCTGGTGGCTATGGCCATCATACAAACTCAATCCGGTCCAAAAGGAGTTGACCAAAGTCTCTCGGGATTGATTTAGGAATAGTACAACACATGCATAGTTTGCATACCTCACTGACCCAACAGAAACGTATACTATTTTCAAGAAAGGAGGGGATACCAAAAAAAAAAAAAAAAATCAAGCGCTATGCTTCATCACTCGTTCACGTTCACGTGCCCATATACACTCTTTCAGTCACTCTCACTCCCTACGATGCCTATGCCTAACTTGGGGCTCATTTGCTCTTGCTGCAAAAGAACAGACAAAAGCGAGATAAGGATACGAAAAAAGCCAAGCCCCATACTGGGCTGGGCCTATTGGCTGGCCTTTCGGCTCTCGTAATGCCCGCGCAGATCATCTACTTCTTTCTGTAACCGGGTCAAATCGGCCAGGATATCATGGGCGTTCGATGGATGGGGGACGAATTCGTCCTGTGTTGCTGGCGCTGCTGGTGCCGCTGTTGTCTCGTCGGCTGGTCTGCCCGATCGGAGACTCTGACCAGTGCTGTCAATGCTGTGGTTGCTGGATCCGCGAGACCGTCGCGGCGGCGGAGGTGGAGGAAGAGGGTTGTAAAGCGAGGTCCGCTTCGTCGACGATCCAGTTGACGTCGAATGTGACATTTCTGTGGGCGACACTGGTGCGGCTGCAGAGGGTTCCGGGCGCAGGGTTGAAGTCGCAGTATGCATGGGCTCCTCGGACGGATTGCTGCCCGCGCGAGACTCTCGAGTTCGTGATGGGTTCAGTGACCAGCCGCCTGGACTGGGCGGCGGAGATGATGACGATGATGCCGCGCTTGAGTCCTGTGCCACATGGATGGATAACCGTAATGGGTTGACTTTGGACATTGTGGTCTTCGACCGTCTCATCTGGCTGTGTCGTCGGCTCAGCGGTGGAGTTGGCGGTCGCTTATGCTGCGATTGACTCCGCCGAAGGGACTCCGCCGACTGCTCAGTCGACCGCGGTTCGTCTTTGGGCTTTGCGGAGAAATAGTCGGACCCTGATTGGGAGGGTCGGGGGGAGTAAGATGGCTCAGATGGGGAGCCATGGAAAGAGAAGCGGTTGGTCGTCTTGCCAGGGGTAGTTTGGGCGAGCGAGGGTGTGATGCCAGGGCTAGGGGCGATCCGTTTCCCATGATGACTCTTGGGCGGAGGCGGAGGTTTCCGGTCCCTGTTACCTGGACGGCTGGCAAGAGGACGTGAACTAGGATCTAATGATGGGGTCAAGCCCGACCCAGCTCGAGTAGCTGGACCGGTACGCAGGTCGGACGGCCGAGATACATCCGTGGAGCTGCTGTCGGGCGTCCGGGTGCCTCCGTAAGACGTGGATGAACGCGTCGACACATTCGAACCAGCTACGGGCGCATTCTCGCGAGGCGTGCCAGCCTGTTCCGGGTCTACTGGACGATCATGGGTGCTCCTCTGCGCTGGGAGTGCAATGGCTGTGGGCGGCGCGGATCTCCTGGAGGATAAGGCTGGGTCTGGAACGGTCCTGATCGATGGCAGGGAGCGATCATCGTCCCGAGAAGGTAGGTGAGCGACCTGGTAGGTGCGTTTGGAATCTAATTCATCAATGTCCTCCTCTTCCTCCGCCTCTCCATCATCATCGGTCGCATACGACTGCTGGTGGAAGGGGTCCGAAGTAGACTGGTCATCGGAGGACGCCGTATCGTCGGGATCCGGGGTCAAGGATGCGGGAGGGGTTCGAGGGACAGAGCGGAACGAGGTGGAAGGGAAGGTCACGGAGGGAGCGGGTTTCGAGGGATACGAGGTAAAGGAGGGCTGAGGCAGAGACTGAGGTAGAGAAGGCGCCGGAGCAGGAGCAGGAGCAGGAGCAGCGAAGGTGGTATCTAGGGTGGAGGAGGTCAGCATCATGGGTCAGGGACAGCTCCGTCCATCTCGTCCGACCAGCACGCGACGAACGGTGCGCAGGAACCGGAACCGCCGGACGGACTCACTCTCGGGCTTCTTAGGGCGGAAAGGATTTAATCCAGACATCGCGGAGGAGAAGGGCAGCACTGACCATGAGAGCAAGGAGAAAGGAGGGGAGGGATTGATGGAAGAGAAGGGGAAGGAAGGGAAGAGGGAGGGAGGGAGAGAGAGAGAGAGAGAGAGAGAGACGGAGAGGGCAAGTAGCGGAAGTAAGTCAACAACTGGAGAAAGAGAGAGAGAGAGCGCCTCTCGGCCACAACCTTACTTTTAGTATTTAGTTAGTTACTACTGCTTAGTCCTAGTTTAGTTCCCTTTGGCTTTTACTTTCAAGGTTCCGCGGCTTCCAATACAGGGTTCATAAACTACTTTGAACTACTAGATGTGCATACATAGTATAGTATATGTCGGTAAATAGTAGTTCTCACATGCTGCATTCTGCCTGGGTCGTATTTGCCCTCTCTTCACTCCTCATATTCACGGTCACTCTCACACTCACATATTGAAAACAAAAGAGAACACGGATAAATGATAAAAGAGATAATAATATCGGTGGTAAGAAATGAATAAAAAAAGAAAATAAGAAATAAGGATATATATGGTACAGTGAAGAATGGTAGATCGGTAGTCGAAGAATATACCAAGCCACGCGGAACCCGACGGACCCTCCCAATAAACACCTCTTCCAGTTATACAGTCAGTTAAAAGAAATAAGAAAGATAAAAAAAAAAAGGAAAATATCGAATGAACGCGTGCAATCACAAATGGTCGTCACAAGAGTAAGCCCTCCCTCGAAGGTCAATGCCCGAGAAAGCCTGGGTATCAACTCGCCCGTGTATCACGAAAACAATGTCCGCCCGTCGGTCTTCCCCCTCCCCCTTTCAGTCCTAACCATGCAAGAAGAAATCAAATGCAATCTCTTGTTTCTTTCCGTAGTCTATCGTCGTTCGTCTTAGCTTTCCTCGTAAACATGCCACTCTTCGTTGCCGAAGAATGACTGCGCCAGCCCCTTGCCGCTCTCGGTCGGTTGGCTGAACGCCACCTGCTCCTTGGGGATTTCCATCCCGTAGATGAAGTTGCTCACCACGCAGTCTAACAGATCCATGGCAATGCCTTTCCGGCGTGAAGAGCCCGATGTCCATATGCGCGAAATGCCCACGATGGCCGGGTGCCTTTCCTCTCCCACCGTGACCGACGAGTCCGGTCCATTGCCCGAAACGGCCGACTTCTTGACCGGCCGTGACTCCCAAATCCGCTCCGTCAAGCATGCCCCTACACATCGACTGTCCTTCATGTGCAAAAACACCTTGTACCGGTCCACTTTCTCCGGTACTCCGTCCTGTTGCAGATGCTTGGGCGCTTCCGTTTGACTCCACAGAACCTCATCCTCGATCGTCGGGGACGACAGCTCCTTGCAAATGACCTCCAGCACCTTCTTCGCTTGGTTCTTCGCGGTCGGCGATGCCTTGCGATCCACGATGACCACATATCCCTCGTCAAACCGTGTAGCTTCGTAGACCCAGCGTGATGCGTTGGCCCGCATGAAGGCCTTCCCCAGATCTACCCCTGTGGAGTTCATATCGTGAAACTTCTTATGCAATGCCGCATCCTCCGTATTCGACGGCACGTACTCCATACCACAAGTTGCACACGTCCTCCGTACTTCGTGGCCCAGGTCGATCTGCATCTGCTTCAAGACCGGCGGCTGCTGCGGCTGCGGCGCTTTCTTCTTGGGCGGGTCCACCGAGGCGCGCACGCTGTTAGAGTTGACCTCGGTGAGTGGGGTGCCATTGGCGGTGCCGTTGGTGGTAGTGCCATTCGTAACGGGGGTGCCATTGCTGGCATCCTTGGTGGCGGACTGTTTACGCTTCAGGAAGGCAAACGTGGGTTTCCGCGTGTTGGCGGGAGGGGGGCTTAATCGCGGTGGGGGAGAAGATGGGGGTGTCGATAGATCATCTTCCTGCGTGCCTTCGGAGAGAAGAATAGAATTGCGACGCGACGGACTGGACATGATGGCGGCGGAAGACTCGCGGATGGCATATTGGATGCTATTTTCGGCTTCGTCGGAATCATTGCCGGATTGAACGCGTCGTTTTTTGGCGGCAGGCCGTTGGTCATCGTCGTAGACGCGCCAAAGTGGCCGTCCGTAAGTTTTCATCATGAGACCTCTGCGTGGGGGGAATCAAGAGGGGAGCGTGTTAGTTGGGAGTGGCGGCAACCAAGGGATAAGGGAATTAAGGAGCAGGGGCATGATTTCAACAACGTACCGCTTGAATGAGTTTGTCACAGTCCACGGCATCTCCCTTTCTGATGTACCAGAGGCATTCAAGCGAGGTAAAACATTTATGGCAGAGGTCGTAATTCTAGATGGAAGAGAAGGAGGTAGGAAGGAGGAAATTAGGAAGAAGAAGAAATCGAGAGAAGCAGGGAGAGCCGATCGATGATGCAGTGGAATGAGCTGCCTGACGGAATGCCAGGAAATTATTATGGATTGGGAAGGGCGGATTTGGCGGTCGCCGATCGACGGGAAACGCGTGAGAATCACTGGTCTAAACCACATTCAGTCATATTGCTGCCTTTTCGTTTTTTACCCTTTATATAGTTAGTTAGTTACTCACCAGCTGATGAATGATGAGGATGAGGATGATGATGATGATGATGATGACACGGATGAGAGTGTGAATCAGCAGAGGCAGCAGCTTATATTTATTCCCTTTTTTTTTTTTTTTTTTTTTT